AAACCCCACGGAATCAGGTAGGGACTGTAAATCCCACGGAATCGGGTAGGGACTGTAATCCCCCCTCATGTAGACAGGCCTGGGGATGGAACAATGGCCACAGCAGCAGAAGGAAGAGAAAAAAACCACTATATTGGTCTTTCCCCAAAGAATCTCTACGTGAACTTGGCCTGTGCCTTACTGAGCATAGATGACTATTTCCTGTTGCAATATGGATACTTAGCTGTTCCCTTTTCCCACTTGCTTGCAGACCTCCCAACCCTTCTGATTTTGGCAGAAAATTTCCGCTTTTTCTCTTTGTTTTTGCCATTCCGATTTCGTCCCTAAAATTGCTGCCAAATCACAATTTTGACATGTCTATGTATTATGTAATCTTGTGCATGTATCGTAATACGACTTCACCTGACTTACCCGAACAGTCAGTGCAATGCATGGTGCATGAGCCACGTCCGTGGCAGCGCCCTCTTTTGATGCGTACCAGCCGTGAGATGGATGTGCTACGGAAATCGTTCATGGATGAAAATGCCCTCTATCAACAAGCTACCTTATACCTAACACTGAATGCATTGTGCGACACCTGGTTTTGCTTGGAACCACAGCTAAGAACGTTTGGATCCAAGACTAAGCACTGCTGTGAAATCAACCACGATCATTTCAAGTGTGCGAGCACGGCGCGGTGAATGTTTCGCTGCATTTTCTGGTGAATCAACACATTCAGGAGATGAAAAATTATTGCGGACCATTTCCAATGATGTAAACTCTCGGGGAAATCAAAATTTTATGGAATCGGTGAGTACGTGCAGTACTGTACATCATCAACTCGTGTACAATGCAGCACTGATTTTTTCTTGTTCATGCTAATACGGAGATTATTCCAATTTTTCATGAACAAATTCTGAATTTTGGGGAGAAGGAATCGGCATTCTTGATAACCATTGTTGGGAGGTCTGTGCTTGACTTTGTCTTTTTGCCAGTGAGGGGGACTTCAGTGCTGGGCAGATGACAAGCAAACTTGAACAAGTTTCAGACCCTAACATATTTTCCCTGGAGTTCTGCCCGACATCAAACACCTGTTTGCACTTAGTTCAGTGGTAAGTCTGCAATGACCACACTCTGGGCTTTTCTTGATGCGATTGCTTGCGTGCCTTGTTACAGGTGTTGCCATGGGTATTGCCGGATCCGATGTGAGCAAGCAAGCCGCTGACATGATCTTGCTGGATGATAACTTTGCCTCTATCGTGACTGGCGTGGAGGAAGGTATGGTATTGCTTCTCGTGTGAAACCAGTGTACCATGAAGAAAAAACCACATGCTGAAAGTGCACCGTCGTAATTTAGGGAGCCCGGCGGANAGAACACCTGCAGAACTGGAAACTCACATTTTAAGCAACATTTCATTCACTCTGAGGGACTTCATGTGGTCCTTTTTCTGAACTTGTCCAAAATGTTACACTTTGTCTGCACAGCTTTGTACAGTCATTTGCAAAAGTTTAGGACCTCCCTTAGAAAATGCATAAACCTGAAGGAAAACCCAAACTTAAACCAATCAATCATGGCAACTTGTTTATTTTCAATGTGTAACCTTGGTACCTTGGTTGAACACTTTTGACGACATTTCCATGATTTGACAGTCTAATACAGTCTTTTGCCAAGCTGCCTTACAGACAAAATGTCATACAAGACCTGCCTTTGCAAAAAATTTCATTCAAATGGGTATATAGCACTATACTGATGTTATGCACCGCTGTAAAATCATGTTGAGTAATAATTCAGTGAGACAATGTAATGCAGGGCAAGTGACAGAAATACCAATGAAATACCAGTTGGTCTTTTGCAAATGACCGTAGAATGACCAATGTACAGTGTGAACTGCATGAAAATTCGAAAGGGAAAGTGCCGTGAGGTTTTTAAAATGATTTTTCTGTGTGTTTTCTCAGGCCGTCTGATCTTTGACAACCTTAAGAAGTCCATCGCCTACACCCTGACCAGCAACATCCCTGAAATCTCGCCCTTTCTAGTCTTCATCCTGGCGCAGATACCCCTCCCCCTGGGAACGGTCACCATTCTCTGCATCGATCTGGGCACTGACTTGGTACGTATGCCTGACACCAGCCACAAACCCATTGAGGGACAGTCCAAACACTGGTTCTTTCGGAGGGAAAGTGATCACTAAAAAAATGTTGTCACAGCAGAGCAAGTAAAGTTTAAGAATACCTATCCATTTCATGTGTGTGTTTCATGACTGCGCGACTTGAGGAATTCTGTTAAAAGCTGGAAGTCTGGACAACTCATTTTCATTTACTCTGCGAGGTTCGAGTTATCAGACGTAAAAGGACTACCCAGGAAAACCATGTGGTACGCGTGGCCCTGCCGCAGCTTTTGTGACTGATTGTGTCCTTTCAGTTTGCCTCATAAGCTGTGAAAAGCCCTAAAAGCCACAGAGACATTTTTCAGCATGAGAATGAGTGTGCAAGCCGTGGCATACAGTGGCTGTTTTAGAGCGCAAATGTATTTTTGGCTCCAAGTACTCCGGAAGTTGATGACCTAGACGCAGGAACTCCTTTGGTCTCAGTGCTGTTTAGTGATTAATTTTGCCGGAAAACTGACCCATCCAAGAAATTGTGGTGGGGGGGGATTGGTTAATGACTCTGCACAGCATTCAGTTTGTCGTTATGCAAACAGCCACCCATGCAGCCTCCTGTTGATGGATTGGGGTCTTTCTCCGGGTCACCTCTCACATGTTGACTTCTTGCCCCACAGATCCCTGCGATTTCCCTTGCCTACGAAGAGGCGGAAAGTGACATCATGAAGCGTCAGCCTCGTGACCCTATTAATGACAAGCTGGTGAATGACAGGTAGGGCCTCTCAAGAGTCGAAGGATCACTGCAGTGCAATTGTTTTTAATGCATACTTTCAAAATCCACGTTGGTGTCTCAGTGAACTGAGACTTCGTTTCCAGTTCTTATTTCTCCATTGGAAGTGTTACTTGTCTCCTTCTCTCATGTTTATGGTAATGATATATTCATATTCATGAGCGCAGCTGTGATATCATCTTGGGAACAAAATCAAGCAATCTGTTTAAGTTGGTAAAAAGATATTTTTACAGGCCATATTGTTTATGCATTGAAATCTGCAGTTTGTAACGATGCAGAACATCGGAAGAGTTAAGCAGCATATCGGGGATATCATTAGGAAAATATATTCCGGGAAAGACACTATCACAAGCACTACTCTGGGTAATCAGTTTCAAAACTTTTGAAGGAGAGGACCGACCGTTTGGAAACTTGACTGGGAAGGGGCAGGCAGATAATTCCATTCCGTATGAAAGCCTAAAATGGGACAGTGTTGGTGTAACCAATTTCAGCCGTCCCATCCCCATTTGCTATAAGATGGAGAGAACCCCCCCCTGCTTTGTGTCGGTCATTGTTTCGCTTGAATCTGAGGATTTCTTTCGAGATATCTGGGCAGTGTGTTAGGTAACGATAGTGGAGAGTGTGTGTAGTGCTTGGACGTGTTGGGAGGGGTTACCTCTCGGTCTCATTTCTTGCTGGATATATTGTGACAGGTTGATCAGCATGTCCTACGGCCAGATCGGCATGATGCAGGCCTCGGGCGGGTTCTTCACCTACTTTGTCATCATGGCTGAGAACGGCTTCCTGCCCTACACGCTGTTTGACCTACGGCGTGACTGGGACAACAAAGGCATGAACAATGTGGTGGACTCCTACGGGCAAGAGTGGGTGGGTAGAGTTCCCAGATTGTCTTTTTTTCATGCTATTTGTGTGCTTGTGTCTTTGTCAAAAATGGCTAGACAACACATTTGATTAATTATGACTTTAAAATGGAAGTTGATATTTATTTCCAAGCAAAAGTCACTGGTGCGAATCCAATACAGTGTCCACACTGATGTGCTTGAAGAACAGGTTGCGGAGCGCTCGCGTGATGGCAACAATGCCAAACCATTAGGTAAACGCTGCAGACGTGACCATAACTTTCTTGTCCCCTTTACTTTGGTGTGTGCCTCCTTCCAAAGACTTTCCCTCAAGAGAAAAGGAGCTGGACTGTTCTTCGCACCGTGACAATGATGTTAAAGTTTTACAGCACAAAGTTGAACACAGGAGGGAGTCGGTTTTTCAGTTCTTTGTCCTTTGCCTCCCCCTAACGATAATCTGCTCTTCAAGCATGCTTTGTGATACACCCCTTTCACGCAACCGCAGCAGGTGTTTTCAGTGTTTGGGGCTAATGCCAAATGCTACTGGGAAAACTGTTTTTATGTTTCAATGGAAAGTGCCTGTGGTAGTCCTTTGGAGTGTAATGTTGCAGTGGACTGTCTCTTTGGCCCATGCAGACTTACAATCAGCGCAAGGTGCTGGAATACACTTGCCACACCGCCTTCTTTGTCAGCATCGTGGTGGTGCAGTGGGCTGATCTGATCATCTGCAAGACCAGACGGAACTCCCTCATCCACCAGGGAATGAGGTAAGTCGTCATCTGTTGCAGTGGAAGAGTTGTGTATTGTGGAGTTTCATCTCGTTTTGCCCCGTTTCTTTGGTTTTCCATCCTGTTGTCAAGCTTGAGATTGATACATCATTTGAATCAACTGCTGTGTCAAATTTACCTCTTCGTGAGAACCGTTGCACATGTATTCGAATATCATTTTCCGAATTTGATTATTTGAATGCAGAATTCATGAAAGGGAAGGGAGGGTTTAAATTTGTTTTAAACGAGAAAAAATGCACTAAGGAGACTTGTTTCAAGCAGATTAAAATGAAAAGCCACAGAAATCTTAAAACCACTCATAAAGTAAATTATTCATTCAAAAAATTCAAAAGGAATAGAGATTTTCAACAGGGCAAAAGCTACTGTTCAACTCTTAAATCTTGCTAAATTGTGGCTGGAGATGCGCCTAGACATGAGAAGCTATTGTAGTGATCATAATGTACAGTTATGTGTGTTACTACAACTGATTTTGTATGTGGTTTTGTTTATTCTGGAACATGCTAGCTTAAGGAAACTACATTATCTAAGCTGCTTTTGATTTGACCAGGGACGAAATGAAGAATTCAACAAGGCAAAACTCTTTATATCATTCACAGTTTTAGATGTTTCCAAATATTTTCACCTCTGACTCCCGCCGAGTTTCGTAGGAATTTTTTTGCTTTGAGGAAAAGGATTTCCACAGCCATGTGTGCCACACATCCCTGTACCTCACCGCCCATAACTCTTGTTACCCATTTGTCCACAGCAACTGGGTGCTGAATTTTGGTCTGGTGTTTGAGACGGCTCTGGCTGCATTCCTTTCCTACACACCAGGTCTGGAGAACGGACTCCGCATGTATCCACTCAGGTGAAAGGGCATTTTTTTTTTTTATTGGTTGCGGCTGAAACTTGGCCGCGGGCATTTCTCAATCCTCACCAGCATTCGTGGCGCTGGCTTCCAGCCCCATCTTTGCTGGTTCAATTTGCCCATTTGCCATTTCTCAAAACTGGGTGGCACCTGGGGTTCAGGCTCCACTTTTCCCAATTCGAGGCCCTGCTTTCTGCTTCGTGTTCAAGAATGTCAGAGTCAGTGTTTCTGTTTGTCCTGTTTGGAGCATTTGGCATGTGACATCGGGCGTGCTTTCTCGTGGTGAAACCAAAAAGTTGATATCAAATTGATGTTTCAGAAACAGCTGAGAACCTTGTGTACATTCATTGTAGTATCTTACCAACGTTGTCACCCTTTTCTGAAAGAGATACTTTGGCCCCAAATCATGTTTTCTTTCAAATTCCTGTGTTTTGGCAAAATGAAATGGCATTGTGATGCCTACAACAAGACGTTATCATTTTTACCATAGATAGAGCGTTAGCTTGGGCAAACTGTTTTTGCTTTTTTCCTGAAGAGGCGAATTTGATGCTGGAAATGTATACGAAATGTAATAATTTTGCATCTGGCACGTGCAAACGCAAAAGAGTTCGCATTTTCACAGTAGACAAAAGTTGCATGGATTTGAGCATTTTCACAAAATGGCAAATTTGTTTCCAACCAAATCATTTTTATTGATTTCTGTACATGTTATTTGGCATTTTTTTGTCATTTAAGGTCCTTCTTTCATGCAGTATTATTGATTAAGTCAAAGGCATGCTAAGTCTTTGGGAAATAAGTGTTTGAAAAAGAGAATAACTTCTCATGGGATTTTCGATTTTTGCCTCTTTGTGAAAACGGTGACGATGTATCCCCTTGCTGTGCTGAATAATAACGCTCTCAGCTGCTGATTGGTTAGCACAATTTATTCCATCGTGAAACATCCACTGTTTGGATGCTTTACAGAGACCATGTTATTGTCGGTGTTGTTTCTCAGACACTGATGTGGTTTCTTCCAATTCTCGTGTCACGTTTTGCCAGGATTGGATGGTGGTTTTCAGCCTTGCCCTTCAGTATTCTCATCTTCGTCTACGATGAGTGCCGCCGGTTCCTCCTGCGTCGCAACCCGGGCGGATGGATCGAGAAGGAGACCTACTATTAAAGCACCTCGCCCTGCACGGCCCTCTGGCCGCCTGTTGACACCTGCGTGCGCTCGGAGTCGGCCGGTGCGTCCGGTGTTTATTTTAATTAGCAAGATGGGGACGTGTACCACTTATGACAGAATTGCGGCAATGCAGGAGTACCAGGGACGTTGCCGTGCGTACTTAAAAAGAAAAAAGGATCCATTGGAATAACAACGGGAAATATTGCACCACAAGGTAGATCCTACCGCAGTAGCGATTGACCACGTAAGAGTTTCTTAGAAGTAAGGACACATATTGGGCACTGTTGCTGCCTGGTTTTTATTTCAACAATAAATTGAACAGTGTGTATAAATTAATGGTGAATATTTGACAATACAAGTTAGTCACCACGTTTAGCGTAGCTCAAGGACCAAGGACTTAGGCGGCGTTATTGGCGCAGTAGTTCGGGAAACGCGTTGTCTGTGATCAGCAACATGTTCAGTCAAGGAAGGGACATCTGATTTTTTTTTTTTGTACAGAAAAATAGTTTCTTTTATCCTGACGTTTATCTTTCTTAAGTCGTAATTACAGTTGGGTTCTTTGGAGTATTCTTAAACCTTTCCTTCAAATTGTCACTGCTCGTACCCCTAGGCTTTGATGCACATGAATGTAAACATTCGGACAGCAAAAGCATCACTGAAGAATTGGGCCGGATGTAACACAGTGCCAGATATTTTGAGGAGGAACTGTAAACATCTCGTTACATTGTCTTAAATGTCGCAAGTGGAATATTCGCCGTCTAAGCCTTGGGCATTTTACTCCGAGGGAGGCTCACTTACCTGCCCCTTTTAACTTGTAAAGCAACATTTTTTACCCAGAAGAATTCTTAATCATCTCGCATTTTGTGGCAGTTCTCGGAACTCACTGCCAAGTAACATTCCTAAAACGTTTCAACCACTCCTCCCCTACTACAGATTTGCTTAGATTTCCAGGAAACTGGCAGTGAAAATTCACACATGTGCGCTTTTGATGGCTCCCTTCAAGTTTTTTCTGAGGAGTTAAACTTTTCTTAGATGCAAAAGACTACAGAAACTTGGATTTTAAAACTTTCGTAAGCGGCAAAATGAATAACCTGTGAAATCCACTGTGCCCCTGTAAGACAGTACACCTCTTCATCGTGAGAGTATCCACATCATCCTGCCCACACCTCACTAGTTGGAAGCATTCAAGCTAGCTCGCGAGTGCACCAGTTCACTGTGGCCGGTTCATTGTACAAAGGTGTTGATATGATATATAAAAAAAAACAGATGTATAGCACACAAGTAACCAAAGTAACGAGTGTAATTTCTTGGCTACTGGTAGTATTTTTAAGTGATAATGCGCACACTTGTATGCAAGATTTTTCTTGTTTTGGCTTTCAAAAGTTTGTCATTTACCTTTTTCCTCGTCAGAGAGACTTTCCGTTAGGTCACGGGTTTGACCTTCCGGACATGTTAGGACTTACTATTTTTAGCCACTGCACTGTAATGAATAAAAGTCCAAACCCAACCGCACGGGTTGTGGCTGTTGATGACGGCATTTGAGTCAACGTGAGGGTAAACTTTCACCTCGCTCCAACCTCAGATGAGTTTCACAGCACCTGAAAGAAAGGGTAATAGTCTCAAGATCAATGACCTCCTTGACTGGTACCCCAACACCGACTGCCGGTGTCCCTATTCGGCAGCCCCTTATCCACATACAAGTAACCGGTTCGCTGTAGTGTTTCTTTGTGTGCATATCCCCAGTTTAAGTAATCTTCTTGAGTCTACAATTTTTTAACGGCCGTTTCCAACTTGAAAACGTCTTGTTCTCGTCCTTATTTTTATCCACTTTTGCAACCTGGTGTTAAATGAGTATTGATGTTGTATTGCAATATGCTTGTTCGTATATACAATTTGATATGAAACCACTGAAGATGAACAGATGTTATATATTCATAGACAATAAATTAATGTACAAATACAAATGTTCTCTAGAAAACAGAAAAAAAATTGTTGAGCATTTACAACTGTCGGTTAATTTGTACATGGAATTGTAAAAGTGATTAGCTAGCATGTTAAAATTATGAAAAGCGTAAAATAGGATCTAAGTTTTTCTAAGTGTTACTAAAAAATGTTGATCCTCACCCCGAAAAAAAATATTAATTGTTGAATTTAGAAGGTAGCATCCTCAAAGTTTTTGACAATTGTGAATTCCTTGCTTAGCTTTCAGGTTTGGAAGTATGGATTTAATTAGTAAAAGAAACTTCATTTCTTTTAGCATTGTATGTTTCTTCTGTTAAAAGTGTTCACATTTACTTTTTTAAGTTGAAGAATGTTCGAAACGGCCAGAACTCCACGGTTTGAAACAGTTATTAGGCAGGACATTACAGATGCCAGAAAATATGAAACACCTATTTGAAATTATGTACAATATCATCTCCGTCTTCAAGTTAAAACGTATCAATCATGTAGCCTGCTTAGTGTTTTACTTGTGTACATTTATCACTAAAACTTTTTTTTTCTTCTGCTTATATATCCTCATACTTTTACTGTAGGTTGTTCACAACATGCCCTCCGATTATCCTGAATGTTATCTTCTCACTGGGTCCCATGCGTGGCACTGTTTGATTTAAATTAAGAGGGTTTTTTGTGAGTAACACAAAATGAAATAATGACTTAAATCACAGGTTCATTGCGCCAAGTTGGTATTTATCTTTTGTTCTGGGTTGTTCACCTCTTTCCCAGTGGTCTCCGTCTTGGCTAGTGTTCTCAAAAATACGGTACCTGGACTTGAGGTTGCTGGTTTTCAGCTAGTATTGAAATGAGCTATATACATTCATTTAATTCTAATCTACTCGACGAGCCATCGCACTGCATAGAATTCACGTAGCGTCTCACTTCAGTTTTCCAGTTTTCGTAGAAGTGGAACAAAAGAAAACAAAAAAAGACCCCAATACTTGTAAATTGATTGGTCAAAGAAATTGCCACGTTGAAATGAGAGTTTGTACTTTTTTTATAACCAATTGTAGGCCAGTTCCCACTGTTACAACATTGTTTCACTTGACTGGGTTTTGTGCTGGCCAGTAAAAGTTTTTCCGTATTGAGTTGAGTCAGAAAGACGCCTCTTCAGTACGGTTTCTCATTGTAATCGTAGCTAGTACATGTGTCACCGTCCACATTACAGTAGCAAGCGTTGCATGAGTTAAGTATGCAAATATTATGCAAATTAGTGTTCTCACAGAACGGCACATTTGGGATGGTAAGTGGACCTGGAATGCACCCAACGTAAATGCTTGTCTCCTGCATGTTCAACATCGCTGCAAGTCTTTGATATTTGTGTTTTTAGTAGTTACTTTCTTCGCATGTAAGGATCCCGTTCTTAAGACTTAAATAACACTTTGTGGATGTGCTGTGAATCCAAGTTACGGTAACCAGTGCGTGGTCAGCTTTCATTTTCTTACATTCTCGGTGATTGCTTGGTCATCATTGCTTATATCAGGATTTGGGCAGACGAATTCAAGCTTACACAACGCGGTAGTGGTCCATTCGCACGCAGTATAGTACAGCCCTTCGTGTTCTTATAAGGCAAACAATATTAGCTATTCATCGTTAAATTTGTCAGAACAGGTAAAGTGCCGTCATTCATTAATTAAAAGTTGCACGTGTACGCCTCTTTTAGTGATTATCTATGCAGTTGAATTTAATATGAGGATTGGCCGTAGCAACAGGGTGCTGTTGTTAGCAATTCTTTTATTGAATACCACGCCCCCTGGAATTCAGTGACTGTTTTATGTATGTAATGCCAAGTCGGAGACGGTTCTTTAAAAAAAAATGAAATTATACATGTATCTAGATGATTGAATACTAATAACATAATGCTTGATTAAATTTCAGGTTTTCCTTTTTTAATATTCAGTTTAAATTCACAACCGGTTCCAATTCCGTGTCACTGCTGATCCAAGATTCTGCTCAGCCGTGGTCTGCAGGTTACTTGCCAGATGCGGTTTGTTTTGACGGACAACCGGTCTGATTATGCCGTGTCTTTGCTTAGCAGTGCATGAAAAATTGGACCAAACAAGTTGTAATTATCGGTATTTTGTTCATTCCAGTGGCAAGAGTTTACTCGTTTTTCTGTTGAGATTCAACTTTCTGTTTAATGATGAGTAGCAAGTAGTTTATTTTTATCTCGTAGTTTACCTGCACCATTGGACCTAACTAGGCAGAGCGGGTCGTTTTCCTTGTATTCGATGTGACTTAGAACTGTCAACCAACCCGGTTAATGTGAATCAAAGGGCCGGCTCTTTCCGAAACGGTTGTTTTGTGTCAACGGCTCCAAGTTTTTACCCATCGAAACACCACGGTAAAATGCACAGCCGTAGAGAAAAACGACCTAATTTGAAAAAAAACTGGCCCATATCAAAATTTGTTAAAGCTGTTTGGGACATTGTTGCATCTTCTTGTAGTTCTCGTGTTGAACATTGATTTGCAAGTTTCAGGATTTCCCCCATTGCTGTGGTCAAGTCCATTTGACCTGATCTCATTTTAACTCAGAGAGTCCCACCCCACATACAAGTTTGGATCACATTGTGCAGTCAGTTCAATGGTTCTTTTTTGTCGTAGAACTTGTGTTTTCGAAAGGAAAATCCCCTCTGAGGCAGTGCACTCTCCTTTTGTGTGAATAGAAATTTAGGAGGTTCCATTTGCTCTGAGCAGGGATGTAAGGATGAAGGCAGCAGCCTTGTTAAGACAATAAATCGTCCTTGTGAGTTTAACAATAGAAACCTGGTTCCTTTTTGTTCTTTCAGAATAATATTCATTATCGATTGTCTAACGCAGCATCGAGAGAGCGCGGTGTCAGCTTTCATCTTTTCCAAGGTTCTTACTTCATAAGATTGTGGACATCATGCCTCAAACGTGTATTACACTGAAATATTAGACCAGCTGCACAGATGACACCACACTTTACATGTGTTCCATGGGTGCCCAGTGGACCCGAACTGACTCCATTCGAAAGTGTGCATGTAAATTAAGTGTGACATAGGCCTGTTAGCCTGTGGTCCTCCATTGCACAAGAAACTTGTATGCGATTCAGTCAAAATCTGGCATGTACTTGCTGTCTCCCGTCAGACTCCTTACCAAGTAATTGCCGTCTCAATCTAAATGTCCACAGATAACGATTTTAGGCAGAATGAGGAAAAGGTTTAGCGTCCCCGCCCGCTTGGATTTTTATCTTTTTTTACCTTTGCGCGGAAAGTAAAGTGTAAAACTTCCATTATTAACCGATCCACTAGAAGACAAACAACTACGGATCGGAACTTCCCAACTTTAAAACTCTGCCGATATCTGTTACTCGCCGGGTCATGCGGTTGACTTGTATTATCCCCAAACATGGCCACCGCCGAATTTCTTGGAAAACCGTAGCAAACTCTATAAACCTCTTCAGACAATGTTCGATCCTCTTGTCCGTCGTGTTTCTTTATGTCTTTTGATTTGGGAGAATATCTGGTGGTTGGAAATTTTGAAAAGAATGGCGGTCATCTTGAAAAAAATTAAATACATGTAGGCCCTACATGTATTAAGCTCCCGCCATTCTCCGAATCCCCCACCCCAAAAGAAAACATGTTTGTTTACCAGTGACCTTAAATGAGTAGTAGGCCTACTAGTAGTATTTTGGAGGAACTTTTCTTCGTTACTGTCTTCAACTTTGATATTGAACCCTTGGTAATTTCGATGCTTTACGATATTCATTAACATTTTGTATGTGCACAAAGTTTCGTCCTTTTCGGGAGTGGTGAAACCGTCATGTGTATTTTTAGACTGTTAGTCAGTCTTCGAGTAAATCGGTGGCTATTGTCATCAAAGTTCACTGAAAGTCCAGGTACTGTTTAGACAAAAGCTAAACGAAACGCCTCCACGTGGCATTCTAAATAAAGAAAATTATGTCATTGTAAATACGTGACGTCACGGAGATACTGCGGCTATGTATTAAATATTCATATCAATGACCTTTGTACACTGTTGTTTTGACACACAGTGCATTCAGTAACGTAACGGTACCAGCTGAAATACACAAGGACATCCGAATACAATGCATTGACCGAATGAGCTCCGTAAAATTGTTTTCGTCCGGTCAAATTTCTGGCTGAAAAGCTGCCAACAGGAAGGAGGGTATCTGGATTTCTCTATGGTCTGGGCTACTGGCTGTTTTGCATAGACTGAGGTAGGTGGTGTATTTAATCGGGCGGATGTGTTGAGTGTGAAAATTCTGCTTGCAAAACAATGCCACAATGCCATTGACAAATAGTGCAGTCCATTTCATCTGTTTCTACCTCCGTGGCTTCACCGTGTTCACGGATGGAGTTAGCTAGGGAACCGTCATAACGCTGTAGTTCAGGCGATTATGGGAATGCAGTTGGAGGTTGAATCAGAAGAAATTTGCCACCAGAAGAGCAGACTTTGAACAAGGAAACGGAGGTTAAGCATTGGAAAGCTACGTCCAAAATGCCGATGTAAATAAACGCCCTTCGCCAAAATTCTTTAACATTTTGTTTTAAATTTACTTGATCAATGTGTGTAGGCCTAAGTTATGTACCTGGCAAGTGACATGTAAACTCAAGTAACCATTAACAGTGACTAATGCTGTAAATAGATCTGCTTTGCCTAAAGGCAAGTGGTACTTGTGAATTTCCTTTGCAATTACAACACTATTTGCAAATGGAATGGGAATTGCCCTCTACCTGCTCCATGCAAGAGATGGCTTGTGGAGCAAAGCCGCTGATCTCTCTATAGAGGCTTTACAAGGCAGCCATCATGTAGGGCAGGTCTTTTGTTCCACAGGGAAACCTCCTTTAAATTTGTGCATACCCAGTGGAACCGAAGCACTGGCCTGCAAGATGGCAGCCATACAAACCCTCTAAAATACAGGATACTTTGAAACATGGGAGTGGAAGCCAATTTAGGTGCCACCTTCGGAATCCCAGCTTTGCTTTTAATAGTAATGGGTGTCTTACGATTTCACTTAACTTGAAAACTCAAAATCGTAGTCAAAACGGATTATTAAGACAGGACTGTAATCTGGGCACGACTGGCCACTTCCAGTAGACTCACATTGTTTTCATTTACACAATTTTTTTGAAATAAATTTCCTTCATCTTTAATCCATGAATTATTTCACTCTCGCACAGGGCAAGTATTCCATACACTTATGCCAGTAATTTCTCCCTACTGTGACCTATTAGCCATCAGAAAGCATAAACATCCCCAGAAAAGTTCAATTTAGGAGGGAAAATACCAAGTCGTTTTCTGAGAAAACATTTTTCAGACCAGTCTCATAGGGTTTGTGTGCAGGGTGTCAAGTGGCATCTGTATATGGAACTCTTTCCCTACACAGAATAATGTAGTGGCCAATTTTGGAGACGCCAAAATTGAGCCACACTAGAGGCCTCATTTGTGCACAGTGATGGAAGTATAGAAATGAGTGAGTAGTGTCCCTTGGGAACGTCCTGTTTGAACACACAGCTTTGTGAGCAGTTAGTGCAAGGCATACTCATCAGATGTGACCAGTGTCTCTCCGAGTGTACATGGTCTTTAAGGTGGACAGCTTGCGGTAGCACCATGCGAGGATACGATTTTTTCTGTGAGTCTGTATCGTATCCTTGCATGGTGCTACTGCAAGCTTTCCACCTTAGTTGTCTGTCACCATGAATAGCTTGAAATCCTACATGGTCTTTGTTTGTGCACCTTGCGCCAAGTTGAAATTGTTTTTCAACCAGGCTGTCATGTCTCCATCTGTGCTTCAAGTCAGAGAAAGTAGACCTAGTGAGAATCCCATGTATGGACATCACTAATTTTTCCTTTAAGTGTATACATTGTATCAGTCATGAGAAAGTAATAACATGTCCTAAAATTTCAAATTTAGCAGGGAAAGTACAGAATGCCTATTGAAGTGTTTACTTAAAAAACTTCTTCTGACTGTGATAATGGGGTTTGTGAACAGGGTATCAAGTGATGTCTGTGAATGGAACTTTTTCCACAGAATGTCGCAGCATTTACTCGTTTATTCTCAAATGTTTAGAATTTTGAAACCCCAACTGAGACTTTCAATTGTTTCTACACTACTTGTAGCTCTATGGCCGAGATTGAGATGTTGAATGAAGAGCTCCCTCTAGGGGCAGCGGGTGGCAAGTCCTTGCCTGAGGCCATCAAGGAGAAGTACCTGACCGAGGACGAACCACTCTCTGGCATGATCCTGGGCCAGGTCAACATTATTTCCAATTTGCCCGCTATCAAAGGTATATGTTGAGCTCTTTCCATAGGAAGAGTCTGCCCTTTCAACACTACAAGTCATTTTTTTGGGGGGGGAGGGATGCGATGCCTCGGGGAACCTAACTGAAACATTTCCTTGTGATTTTGGATCACAGTTGAATGGCTGAATTCTTCAGTTTCGGTTTAATAACCACACCCATCCAATCTGCATGTTTACACTGTTGGCAACATGGAAGAAGGAAGAAGTATTTATGACGAGGATTGCATGCGCTTCATACCCGTGTGCAGTCAAAGTACATGTATTGCAGTGCGCGTGGGTCATTCTGTAATATAGCGGTCCAAAATTTTTTCACATTCCAGTAATGTCTGGTATTTTTTGGACATTTTAATTTCCAAGAGTGATTCATTGATGCAAATTACCAGGGATATCAGGGATATTTCCGTGTAAGGTGGAACAGGGACAGTGAGAAATGTCACACTTTTGGACTTGGTTCCTGTGTTTATGGAATGATCCAAATGTACTACAGAGTGAAATGTACTGTTTATTGTGCTACAAATCTATTCGTTATTATCAGATCACGTGAAGGTTATACCATTCAACTCAAGGGGTGTCCGAAGTTCATGTAATCACTGGAACAATGTTGGCTTGGAATCCTCCTCACAAGGTTCCTCATGTGAGAAGTTCTTGTTTTGACCTCTAGATTCCAACTCTGGGGCCATCAATCTCCCACCGTGCCTTGCGCTGAACTACTGTTGCATTGTGGGAGCTGGGGACGAAGGTGAGGTAGAAAGGCTTTGCAAGAATGTGGTGGAGTTAGACCTCTCGGAGAATAGCCTGAGCGAATGGAAGGAGGTACAGACCATAAGTCAGTTATTTCCTGATAAGTAGGATTATACAAGTAGGTCCTTGATACTGAGCCCCTAGATTAGGCAAAAAAAGTTCTGCATCCTCTAGTACATGGCATCTGGAAACAGGGTACAGGAGGTACAGTGTAGGTAGGTAGGAATTTTGTTTTCAACTTTTTCTTATAAAACTGATTCAGTGTGCAATAAAGTGCTCACTGGGTTAAAGTGCTAACTGGGTTAGAGTGCTAACTGGGTAAAAGCGCTAACTTGGTTAGAGTGCTAACTGGGTTAGAGTGCTCACTGGGTTAAAGTGCTAGAGAAGTCAGGTGGAATCTTTTTGTTCAAACAAAATGAACAACACTTTCAAGTTGACTAGTTGCTTGTGTAAGTCCGTGGAAGCACGTTGCTAGGTTGCACCACATTTAAAAGTATAAACTAGACAGGGTTTTCTTGCTGCATTTTGAATTTCAAATTGTCCAAAACTCATCCCCACAAAACGTGCTGAGGTTCTTCTAGCAAAATAGGGTAGGTAGGGAAACAATGAGTGGAACTAATTTTTTTCATCTTAGTAGTACCGTGGCAAGTATTGTTGGCTCAGTAGCCACAACGCTTGTTACAGTTGGCTTTGTTTTGGAAAGCCAAAACCAGTTGAACCCACCCATTCTTTCATGAGCTTGTTCACCAATGATTCACTGCTTTTCTTTTTCTGTTTCTGTCCATCATTGGCCAGGTTCTGTCCATCACTGGCCAGATACCAAAGCTGCGCTTCCTCAACCTCAGTAGTAACCCACTCAGCACCGACATACCGGTCCAGCTGGCTCCTGTCCCTCCCATGGCTGGCATAACAAACCTGGTCCTCAACAACACCCAGGTGCCCTGGAGCACGGTGCATGTGTTGCTGGACGGCACACCACGGTAAAGTTAGCTGCAATGAACACTGTAGACTAGAGCTTTGTCCAAATTGACTGGATGTGGCTGGGGTTAACGCGCATGTCCAGCTATTTTAATTCAACCAAGAGCTTTGTATAGAGACAGCAGCACCATCTTCAGGCTTTTGAACCAATATGGCCGTTCGTTATGTGTGCAGTACAGCATGCCGCCATTATGTGTATAGTGCACTGATGCAAAATCCACCATTTTGGTTCCAACAATTGAGACACTCATGTCGCAACTTCTTTCATGTACAGCTCTGATCCAGCCACTACAGTAGCAAAGTGATGCAGCCTAACACTTGCTGAAAGAACAGAGAATTAGTTGAGACATGAGTTGTTTTTTAACACCACTTTAAATTTCAAAACCTTTCAAACTAGACCTGCATATGTAAATAACACTGGGAAGCAAAATGGTATGCTGCTTTGAATCCTTTAATTTTCAGATTTGTGTTTTCTTGTCACTGCTTTTATTGTTTAAAGGCTTGTTCTTGAAGAGAGTTAGATTGGTTTCAATGAAGTGTTTGAAAGTAAGATGTTCTTCGTTCTACCCAGGCTAGAACAACTCCATTTAAGCTTGAATAAATATGGAATGGTCGACTCAGCTAGCAAAGCCTACCATTCAGTCAAACTGTTACAGTTCAACCGCAATGACATCACCGACTGGACGGACGTAACCAAGCTGGGGCAGATGTTCCCCTGCCTGGAGTCCTTCTACTTGTCGGAGAACGACGTCCGGGGGTTGACGAATGCGGTGGGGCCCCACTTCCCCAGCCTGCGGAGCGTGTGCCTGAGCGAGACGGGCTTGGCCAGTTGGGAGGAGATCGATGCCTTGGCCGCCTTCCCAGTCCTGGCCGAGGTCCGCCTCAAAAGGGTCCCGCTGGCTGAGGCCTATGACGAGAAGGAGCGCCACCAGCTGATGATTGCCCGGCTGACGCGGCGGGTGACACGGCTCAACGGGAGCCGGATCGGGGAGACCGAACGGGAGCAAGCCGAGCGAGCCTTTATCAGATACTACATGAACCAAGAGGATAAACCGGCCAGGTGAGAACAATAGGTCTCCTGCACTCTTGTAGAAAAGGACTATAAAGCATGGAGAAATTCAAGGAAAGGGAATGACAGATCAGGACGAATTCAGAAGTGGCTGTCTCTCTTGCCACACCCGAAATGTTGGCTGCAACTTGCAGTTACACACAACTCTATGAGAAGTGGCTACTGCCATAACCATAGACTCATCTAGTTTCAAGACGAAACCAAGTCATTTGGACACGACCACTGGTATGGAAAAAAAGTCATAGCACACTATAGGTTAATAGAATTAAAGCCATTTGGGGGAGGGGGGCTGGAAGCATTAGTTTAGACCGTATTCTGGTGTCAGCCACCTTGAATTGAAACTGTGGATAACCTCATTTTGGGAACTTGAGAGGAAAAAGGACAGCAACGAAATAAAAATTCATCACAAATTAGTGCCAGTTTACATTTAGAATGATCAGTTGTGTCTAATGTAACAAGGACACCGTCACAAATTGTGCCCTAACCTTATGGAATGACCCCAAAGCGAGTTAATGACCTCATGATCAGGAGAAATCTGCCCCAATCGGAGGACTCAATATCCCTCCAGTTTACATGTAGAATAATGTCAAATTTGTGATCGGTTATGTCTAACGTTTTAAGCCACATTTAAAAAAAATGAAATTGAGGCTTGGAACCCCAAATATTCTGGCACCATCCCATTTAAAGATGACATTGAATATGATAGGTTCAGAGAACAAGATTGAAGACGGTTTTCCAGAAAATAAGGTCTTTGTGCCAGAGACTGTAAGCACGGGCGGGCTATGCACAGGCTTACATGCACCAGTAGCTGACATCTAGATTGCCTGCCTCACCTTTGGCCGACATGTAAACCTGCTAATACTCCATTCATTTTGTACTTGGTGCACAAGGTCTGACAAGTGTACGAGCAAATATTGCCCCTTGGGCACGCATGGAAGCGTTGAGAAATACGACATTGCAGTGAGAAATATACCAATGCTCTTCAGATAACTCTTATGAATCAGCATTTGTGGCTTTTAGCTGTATTTTAAGTTGGTTGTTCTGTCGTGCCTGTTCCCAAAGTCAGAATTTTTCTCCAAAACTAGTACCACTAGCAAGTGGTAAACAGAAGTGTTTTAATATTTGTGACCTGTCACCAGGAAACGAGCAGAGAGTCAGGATTTTTAAAAATTGAGATATTGGTAATTTTTTACTTGGGCAAAAAGAGAGCTTTCCAAAGGTATGGTTGCTCTTTCCAAATATTGCAAATCCCCAAGAATGACCTCCACTTCAGTAGTTGACTTTTTACCTTCACAAGAGGAAAGAGCGGGATGTGACTTTACTCTTGCTTCGTCGTGATAGGTCACATTTGAGGGGAAGCAAATGCCAGATTTTGTTCGTTCTTGCAGGTACCACGAGCTGGTGGCGACTTATGGAAACCTTAACCCCTTGGCAGACGTGGACCTCCGGCCTAAGACGCACGTCCACTGCCTGGTGCGCTTCGAGGACAAGTGCCAGGAGTGGGACATCCCAGTCAAGCAGACCTGTGGCCAGCTCAAGCAGTCCCTGCAGGAGTTTGCCGGACTGCCCACGTCCAAATTCCGAGTCTGGTACCTCAACCGCGCCTATACTGAAGGCTGCGGTCCCACTCTTCTGCAGTATCCCGGAAGACTGCTGTACGCCCTTAGAATTCAGGATGGTGACGAGTTTATCATCGACAGAAAGTAACGAGGAGTAAACAGTCGTGACCTGATCTCACAAAATGAGTCTTAAGGCCATTTCTAAAAAACTTTTCAGTTTTGTTTCAGTTGGCATTAAGAAGAGTAAATTAGGCTCTTTGTTTTGTTGTATCACTCAATTTGGCATCTTAATTCATGAAAATATTCATTCCATGTATGTTGGTGAGAATAGTGGAAGGTTCCTGTCGGTTTCCACTGCAGAAAGGCCTTTAGTTTAAAAGTTGGTCTGGTGGGGTAGGCTTCATTTTGTTAGGTTGGGTTACAATTGTGTTTTTCTACTTATTTGCTGTTCATGTGCTAATAGAAGGATACAATGTATTTATATAATGATTGTGAAAATTTTTAGCATTTATAATTAGTATATTGTTAAGTTATATTGACCCTTTGCACGCTGTGTCAATTTGCGTGTGCAATATGCGGCCATATTGGTAGTCAGATCTTAGTTGCTACTGTTAATGGGGGTTTATGTGCAGCACAACTGTGTATTTTGGATGTTTCTTCATGCACGATCGGCCTGCCATTGCGTTGAGTGTGAATCGGTCTGTGTGCAGAATTGCAGAGCTTATCAACTGGACTTCTGCCTGTGTTTGTATCTACATTTGCCCTGGACTTGCTGGCTAAACGCACGGACTTGAACAAGATTATAGACAGGTTCGTGTTTCGCCGGTAACACTGCAGTGTGCTATAGTGGAATCCGTGAAGTCTCTCCCAAGTCCATCACAGCTTAACCAGGTGCAACAATAGACTGTCCTATTAAGCCCCACCCCTTGTATTCTGACCAATCACAGCCTTGCCTTACGTCCAACATGCACGCATGCTTGCATGTATGTTGGGCGCGGCTGGAACATGCAGTGTGTCATTGGAGAAGAGCACGTGCGAAGCGCCTACATGTCCATATACATGTACTTGCACCGTACTGGGCGGGGCTTGTTAGATCCGTCTATGGGTCTCGAGCTGGACCGAGAGAGGGTGATATTTTCACAGCAACAGAGGCTCCTTTGGTTGGACAAGGAAATGCGTTGCTACCAACAAAGTGAACATTCCGGACCAATGCGGTTCTTTTCAACCGATGAGGGAGCTAGTGCTTCTGCTCGAGGCGGATTTAAGCTACGAGCTATTCAGATGACCCTCTTTTGTCCCTGTGCACCCTTTCTTTTGTGGCCGGTCTTCTCATAGAAATGAAACTGAGGGATGCATATTAGAGCTGGGATCTATTCATTGGTATGTTAGTTTACAAATCGGTTCAAACCAAAGAGATTCGTGAACAAAGACTTAAAGGCATCCCTTTCTAACAGTTGAAAAAGGATTGAACAAACACAAAGACGAGAGTTGAAGAACGTTGGAACTTCTAAATTTGCTCACTATGACCAAAAGAGCGAGGCCTCGTGTCACAACTGTAGTTTGTCTCTGGATATATGTATATTGCAGTTTATATCAGAAAGTCTGCATATAGATGCATTCTGAAAATCAGAGAGTTCCAAAAGACCATTCTTTTTTAATCGATCGATCAAGACTCTTATTTAAATGAACCTTGAAGGTTTCATTTTGAATGAACTGTTTTCCTATAGCCAGACTTGATGTCTCTACCGATTTAATTTTGTCGATGAGATTAAAACAGTAGGTGGAAGTGAGAATTTGAAACTGTGCAAAATGGAGGTGAAGTAGAAAGCTGCTTACTTTGCCGCTGTTTCCTATTTTTATCATGACGTATGTAATTTTACACATGCAGGGACTTTGTGTAGGAGGTTTTAATAAAGAAGTTTTAATAAATTACTCTTGTATAGTGTAGTCAAAAGCTTCAGTTTGTTTTCGAAAGTTTACTGAGAACGCTATCAAGCAGGTTTGAAGCCTTTTGCTCTTAAATACGGCACGACGTTTATAACGAGTCCATTCTGAGCAGGTCTTAAACGGACATTTAATTAAGACCGACCGGGCACATATTTATTCATAATTCGTGCCGTTGTAGTAGACATTAAAAAAAGTGAAATGTACAATAAATTTCTTAGGATTTTTAAAAGAATATTACTATCATTTTCCCAAACACCCCCGTCGTTTATGGTATATATTCCAGTGGCGAAAATGTGTTGTAAATTTGGTTGGGAATGGGGAAAGGTGTGGGGGGGGGTGATTTTTTTGGAAGATTTGAAAATAACAAAAGTGGCCCATGATAAAGATGTACATCTCAAATGTTATCGGATTTATGCAGAACCGTTGGGAAACCAGTAGATTTTAACAATCCACTGTAATTTTTTTTGGCGAAAACAAAAACGTGGAGACGTGGATGATTCAATAGCCCATCCCCCACCTCTGAAAGTGTGTGTGGGTAGAGGGGATATATACCCTCCCGGGATTTACGCCTATGGTTTATTCCAGGTGCAAGTAGTTGAGAAAATCAAGAATCTCCTCATTATGGTCTTGGCGCGCGCGTGGCAAGGAATGCATTAAGGCGCCCTTTCATATGCGCGTCAACACTTTCCAGTATCCCATCCCGGATACCCATCCGGTTCGTCGGTGACTTCGTCACAAAGGTGGACGCGCCACGATTTGCAGGCTCCCATTGGACAATCGCTGCAGTTGCGCGTTAACTTCCGGTTCCACGTTAACGGCGATCAATGCATGTAACTCTATGCATTGCATGTGCTGTGGGCGTGAGTTAAACTAAGTGACAAACGGATATCCGTGAAAATCGCTCCCGCGGTGTGAAAGTGAAACGCATCGTATACGCAACGCACCCAAAAACGGACACACGGAAAAGCGCCTTTAAACTATCTCGTTTACAGCGGTACCGGTCCGTTTTTACGCAGCGGACAATTATCAAATCGCTGCGGGTAGGCCTATTGGGTCGCGTTGCATGTTGTTGAATCGGGGAACTGTCGAGGCTATTTATGAGTAAAATATTATTGACTGCTGTAGGATATGTCACCCAAAGGACTCGGAGTCCTCGGAGGCGAAGAGACGATAGAAACGGCTTCACTGTTCAGGGACGATAGAATCTAGCTCCTGTGTACGCCTTCTGTAGCGATTACAGTGAGGACTTATTGTGAACGCACACAGAAAGAACGAAAAGTAGAATCAATCAGTTAACTAATTCTACTGAACATTTCTGCTGGGCTTGTTAGCATAAAAAAGCGCCCCTCAGTTTCTCTCGAAAAAGGAGATTGGGCGGACAAAATGGATGGACTGGAGGGGCCGTGGGCAGATCCTGCTCGGTTTGACCCTTGTGAGACCGTCTACTGCGGATGAACACTCTCTGCGTCCAGTGGCCTGCCATTTTGCAGCTGTAGCATATGTCAGCATTTGGAAAGCCTGTTGGTAGGAAGCTAAAGGGGGGGGGTTAAGGAGAAAAGAAAAAAGGAGCAGCAAGCAACTGTGTAAGACATAAACTGCGCTTGTATTGAAAGTTCACAAGAATCCCACCTAAACGAACACGTCTCGGCGACGTACGCGAAGGTATGAACTCTTGAATGGCGCTTCGAAGAGGATTTAGCCTACGGGGATATAAGAGCCAATGACCAATATTGACCCCATTTTGAATATGGCACGCTTCATCGTGCGACAAAAGGTGGGAAAGTGCTATGCATATCCATACTGTCCTTCCGATCAAAGCCACATTTAGTTTCAGAGGGTTGAATTTTTTTTGTGGGGTAGTCTCTGCATCGTCTTCTCACTTCTCCTGAAAAACTCCTGCAGTTCCACGTCATTTAATACCTGGAAGTAAATGAACCCATGAGTCACTCTTTTATTCATTTTAACTCACAAAATCCAACATCTGTTGCAATTGGCACGGATCAGTCGTGCCAATTGCTTTCAAACCACAAAAATGCCTTCCTTTTTTTTCTACGCAATTACCTGTTTTTTATTTTATTGTCCCCTTTTGCCCAGAATCATCGATGCAAGTGGCACAAATCATTTTGCACCGGGTGCTGCCGGTGAGAAACAAACCATCTCTCATTCGCTAATGAAGCCTGGAGTAAAACGAACATAGATAAGTAACACCTGACAAGCGAGACAAGAATTGAGAAAAGAATGCGCGGGAAACCTGTTTGATTTATTCAGCTATACCGGTTAACATTTTTGACAAACCTGTGATATCATCTCTGGGATCGTCTCTATTCTCCATATTTTAAATAATATCGTATACTTCCGGAAACAGATGTTAGCATTGCCTAGATGGGATAACCGGATGCCAAGCGAAACCCTTGAAGGTCAAGCTTAGCCTACATAGGCTTAAAACGTACCTTTTCCATTAATTGGTTTTGTTGTTTCTTGTGAAGCGCATCGAGACTTTGGTGGGATACGCTATTTAAACATTGACAGGCTCTTTTAATTCAATCCGAACACTTCAGTTTAGCTGACAGGCTCGTGGCAGTCATGACTGGCAGTACACATGCCAAGGAAACACGCAATATGCTTCCTCCATTGCAGTTTTTACCCAAATGAATAACTGCTCATAATGCTCAGGACATGTGGGTCAATGATGACATTTGAAGTTGGGCATCGCCCACGTGTGTTTATGAACCAAAAGAAAGAAGAAGAAAAAAAGGAAAAACAAAAAGAACCAAAAAAAAAAGCAACAAAAGGGTGTAGACTCTAAATAACCACCATAACAACGGCATTTCCAGTGATTAAATTTGAACTTCACAGTGTGCTGTACAGTGACTGTTACCAAGCCTCTCTGTGCTTAGACAATTCGCTACTATACTGATAATTGAACATAGAAAGATCGACAAATAGGCCTACGATCAGCCTTGGCTATGTGTCGTTTACATACTTATTCGTTTGTGATATTTACCTTTGTGGTTGATACACTGCAATTAAACATATTTTTATTGAAAGTCAGTATCAGGGCTGCATTTATCCACTAAAAAACCGGGGCTTCCGAAATGTGAGGACCAGATATGACATACCAAGATCTGTCATTCGATCCCGGTGAAGCTGTCAGGGGAAATCGTCTCATGTTCCATTTTTTTCAGTGCTTAGGGGGTCAAAATAACGGTAACGGCCACTTCATACTTCATGTAAAAACAGAATCGAAGGCGAATTTGTCACGCCTGATCAAGCATTCGCATTGCAAATTCGTAGTAAGTGGAACACATTTCAACCCGAGCGATATCGCTGTAACTGTGTAGTGACTACAAACTCGCGTCGCTATCGCATTCGCGTTAATTAGTATGAAGCGGCGGCCTTTAGCATATATCACTTTTTGGGGGGCAATCCTTTTTAATAGAGATTTTTCCGGGTAATCGTAAAAACTGTTATTCATCACGTGACGCTGCCCTGGCTGCGTGTACACGTCAATATATAGAATTTAGAGTGACGTGAGAGTGCGTTTCTAGTGACGCGAGAGAAGAAATGTAACATGCATTCCTCTTATGAGCATTAGCAATCTGACGAAGACCAAACAATTCAGAAGAAAATCAATTTAAAAGGATTTGTTACGAAGATCTTAATTTTCATCTCAGTACGTTTCAGTGAATAGGCGTGCCCTCTCCATTTGAACCAAACTACTCCTTTGCCGATCTCTGTGGACCCCTGACCGAAGTACATGCCATTCAGGTTGGAGTGGTGGCATCTCTTATACCACCAAGCGCCCTTGGACGTTTCGGCACAGTTGACAGATCCACGTAAGTCGTTGTCACGGTCTTTGGTAGAAAAAGCCCGGTTGTCATGTCTAGCCAGGGAATTACCTGCAATAAATCGGCAGAATAATAAACCGACTCACTGTAGGCCCCCTATAAATATGCATGGAGAAACGGATTTTTACCACTTGTCCAAAATCGGGAGCAATCTCATTGGAGGGGGGAGGAGTTGGGTGATATTTCCATCACACTCCAACCTCGAATCCAGATGAAGCCGAATAGGGTTTACTGTCTCTACCTGATTCGGCGATTTCAATTCCCCGTAACTGTGTTTTATCTTGGGTGTTCCTGATATCTCTACAATTGATATTTTTTCGCCCGCAGGAAAACATTTTATAACCAGCAGGGTTACGATAAAGAATAAATAATTTGATAATGCTGATGTTGGACGTTCATATCCGTGTTCATAAAGATATATATACTGAAGGCATCTGTCATAAAATGGTGCATATTTGTATTAATGAATATTCATTAGTATCAGGGTCCGCCTGTCTATCAATGCATGCATGATAAACACTTGAAACTGTATAAAGTGACCGCCTGATTTATAACTTTGAAGATAAAGATATCGGAGTACTGTGTGGTCGTATATTGTTAGTAAGTGAGTTCTTGGAAAGCTGATATCTGTTCAGAGATTTTCGTCAGTGACGTGTCCCGGAATCTCCAAACCTAAATTTGTTAGAAGACGGTTTTGACAGCATCAATATCCATATGCATGAGCACTTGCCGAACCAGTATCATTTAAACTTCTAACGCTTTGGGGGCTCATTTTTGCCTTAGTTAATGAATTATGAACTGCGAAACCACAACACACTGTTGTTTTGGAATTTAGCCTTTGTATACCTGTAGAATTTACATTCAATATCATTGTGACTGACATACCAGCCGTTCCCGAGTAGTCGTCAACCGTCAACCGGTAGTTGGCACTCCCATCGGCAACACGAAACGTATCATACTCGGCATATGCAGTGTTGCCTTCGAAGTCCTCGAGATCGACGCGCAGTCGGTACGTGCCTTGAGTGGTGAGTCGATGCAGGTTGTCGTTGCCAAGCCAGAACTCACCGTTCAGATCACCGAACCCCTGGCGGTAGCTCTCCCAGTCGCGGTCAAAGTCAACTGAGCCGTCTTGACGCCGCTGGAGCACCTATGACAGAAAAATGGTTTCAGTCAGCAGTTTGGCAGTTAAGAAAAGTGCACTGGAAAAAAAGTGGAGAAATAGTCACGAAACATCTCAGTACTGAAAAAAAAAACGACAGCAGCAGGAACGTCTGTGCTGCACGAAGCGACAGTGATAGGAATTAGGACTTATCATAATAGAACTGTCCACCCTTCGACAGAATAGATAATATTGCTGCAAACCTTGCTATGAGTGGATTAAATCAATTGTCGAGGGTGTCAGTCTTGTCGGTATCATTTTTTAAAATATCCCAGAATTAGAATGAATTGGGGCAGGGGCGCTAGTGAGCGCACGCATTGCTGATAACATACCGTCCATCCGCCACCATCTGTCTCCATATCGCAGTACACATCGATCGGTCCGTCACCAACCTCAGGTTGAATCTTATACACACCACTGGTAGTCATGCCGTTTGCAAACACACCAGCACAGTCCTTAGGTGCTGTAGTTACCAGAACAAGTAAAACAAATATCAAAATGATTAACAAATTTGGGAACTTGGAGAGAAAGACACGTACAACCCACTATGCTCTCAGCTCGTACAGTTCAACGAAGGGTTTGTTCTGTATGCCACCAGCGAGTTTATTTCAGTTTAGACTTTTGAATCGTGACAAAAGGAGCAGACTACCAAGACGATTTAGAGAGGATCTGTTCCAGTTACGAGCACAAATAAGAACGAATTCCAACAGTTTTCGAAAATTGAACCCAAACTCACCGGCCATGTTTTGCAGGTCTTCAGCAAACTCATCGACTGATTTCTTTATTTGGTCGAACTGAAGTGTGACGTTCCTCACTCTCTGGCAGTCGACACATGTGGCACTGGAGTTACCACTGACCCTACCGATGGTGAAATCCCCAAACACGAGGAAAGCAAGAAGGACAATCAGCGGGCCCGACGTCATGTTGGAAGATTTGTTCAGAGACTCACAAAGCAGAATAGTTGTGAAGTTTGGTGTCTGACAATTTCTAAAAACGAACGTGGGAATGCAGGGAGTTCTGTATCACTCTATAAACGGATTCGCATTCGCCGTCACGTGGCAATTGATGTATAGGCCTACCAATCGACGTGAAAAATCCACCACTGTGTAGTAATGTCCACCAATCGCTGTGAAGTGCACTCCACGATGCCATGTACACCAACCAATCACAGCAAAGTGACATCCACACGTGCCACCAGGGAGTTGGTACGCCAGCTCATTGAGCTAGTGTTAGATCATATACCGGATTCTTATAACCACATAAGGTTCCAAAGTAAGTGTGCGAAAAAATCTCCAGGCCAGATCAATGGCAATTGATCACTTATTTCTCATCAGGACATTATCGTAGACATAATCATAGCTCATTTCAAATTAACAAGATTTTCATGGCTCCCGTATGTGTTATCTGATTTGTCTTGGCTAATTTCTATAAATCTGTGGGTAGCCATAAACTTCATTTCACATCTCACGGAGTTTCATGTATTGTCTGAGAATTTAGAGGTAATAATATTTAGGTTGGAATTTTGTTTGGTGTAAAACGGACAGGAAACGACTAAACTGTTTTTGTGAGTTGTAGGAATCTTCTCGAGACTTGCTATTCTTACAGGCTTTTTCGAACAAGCCCTTTCTTGAAATAATGTTTGGGTAGTAAATAATATTAGGAACTGGAGAAAGCTTTTGAGCATTGGTTTCTAGCATTAGTTTCAAATGTTGGATTTATGAGGAATCGTAGAAGTACGGAATCAAAGAATTAGAAACTTTATTCTCGTTGTGTACAATCCGTCCGATGGTCATTCTCACGTGAACATTGGCAGATTATATACAGATCTCGAGGAGTGTAAGCTTGTGTCTGTCTTATCGCACTTGTTGCTCATCAAGACAAACTCAGTCGTTTCGTTTGCTGAGGCGAGAATGTGACTATTATGACGAAGATTCGTCAAAAGATCTCCGGAGGGCCTGGCGGGGCTCCCGCAAGCATAACACGTGCATTTTCTGTCAAACTCGCTACTCCATTCGCTCATGTAATCAACATATATGTTTGCCGGATTAATGGAAACGTGTGATTGTTCTGCCGATCTCAAAGTCCAGCCATGCCCCCATCAAAGGAAAAATTACGGCTCATTTCACTAACCGATCACTTTTCAAACTTTGCAGAATCATTCATTGCAAGATGGATCCTTCAAGATATCCCAATACTTGATGAAAACCAGTGTGGTGACAGGAAATTATTATGTACTAGCCATTGCCTTATTAATATGCCTCACCCGATATATTTTAATGCTGTAAAACCAAATCATTATCTTATGTTGTATAGACTTCACAGAGGCATTTGATAGAATCGATCAAGCAATCGCTAAACTGATTTAATCGATCTCGGATTGACAACTGGTACTGTAACTTTCTTTCGTCTCAGCAGCAATGTGTGTGATACAACTCGACTATCTGACTCCTAATGGCGGGGTTCCTTAAGACATTAAACTTCGATCTATTATATATTGGACAATGACTAATGATGCACACCCCTCTGATCGACTTACTAACGTGTTCATCCTCATCCCCGGGACATAAGGCCGACACTTTCTGCCTCCATTTGACCCTGTCCTCAGCTACATATGTTGCGCCGCGCCCCATGTTTAGTCCAAGTTCTTTTAGTTCTGATTTTATATATCGTCTTCCTCCATGTTGTTCTGGGTTTTCCCCGCTTCCTCTTCCCCAGTGGTGCCCATCTCAGCGCCACCTTAGGGATACGCTCCTCGTCCATTCTGAGTACACGAACATGCCCCAGTCGTTTCAAGCGTCGGTGCTTTATCTCAGCACTCACATTGTTGCACTTGGTCTTGTACAGTTCTGCGTTTGAGATTTTCTCCGGCCAGAATACACCGATATGATGTTCGTCTGAGGCAGTTCTTTTGGAAGACGTCTAGTTTCTCCGTGCCACTCTGTATAACCCTCCAGCATTCTGAACCATAAAGCAAGACTGATTTTTGGTGCTAATGAAGAGTCTTAACTTGGTTCTTACGCTGCACTGTTTGGACTTCCAGATGGACCGAAGATTGGCAAAGGTGTTTCTGGCTTTCCCAAGTCTCACATTGATGTCTCTGCTGGGCGCATTGTCAGAGCTTATCAGAATTTCTAGATAGGTGAACTCCTGAAGAGTTTCAAGTGATTTGTCATCTACTAAGATAGGTGCAGCTGATGTTGAGTTGATGCTCAAGAATTGAGTTTTGGAAGTGTTAAGGGCAAGGCCAACCTGTGCAGCCTGTCAGTTTTCTCTGGTAAGTGACTTCGTTTGGAAGACAGGACAGCAAGGTCATCTGCGAAATCTAGGTCTTCAAGGTAGGAAAAAATCCACTGGATACCTCGAGGCTTGTCTGCTC